AGCTTCTTCTTAATTGGCTCCAGGTGTCCTAATTAGCCTGCCTGCCTTAACTGGTTCTAGCAGGTTCCTGATTACTCTAGTGCAGCCCCTGCTCTGGTCACTCAGGGAACAGAAAACTAATCATCCAGTGACCAGTATATTTGCCCTCTACCAGACTCCTGTACCCCACTGGTCTGGGTCTGTCACAATACCAAACGGAATACAGCAGCTTTGTCAAACAACACTGTTGCTCAACATGGTAGCGTCATGACTGAGGATGTTTCAAGAACAACTGCTTTCAAAACTTATGTTAAAAATTCCCTACTTAGCAATTCAAAGAGATGAAGCAACCTCCATCATTGGTGAAGAACAGAGTCTAGGGCAGTGGTCCCCAACCTTTTTCGTCTGGCAGGCACCAGACAATGAGCCACGGAGGACCGTGGCTGCGGACGAGCATCCGCCGAAATGCCGCCGACAAGCGGCATCAATAGGCGTCGCTGCAATTCTAAAGATAATAAGGAATCTCTTTGACTTCTGATGTTCTGAATTGTTTTACATTTGTCAGATTGGCAGCATTTTGGCAGCGACGCTTCTGGATGACGCTGCTTCTCGGTGGCATTTCGGCGGATGCTTGTCCGCCGGTCAGTACGCAGGCGCACTTAGACGCCCCGGCGGGCGCTTGGGGACTCCTGGTCTAGGGTATGAGAATTATGTATCCAATAGTTCCCTTCAGGAAGGCTTGCTATTTTATAAAGCTGTGCTAGGACAAACAGAACAGGGGAAAGCTCATTCAAAACATTTCAGGAGGTAAAGATTTCTGTATGTGCTAGGATTACTTTATTGCAATCGCATGGATTGTGCCATAGCAAAGACAGGTAAGAATAAAGCCTGGTCACACAGATCCAAAATACTGAACTTCATGCCTCCGGGCTTTGTTTCACACACTGCCAAGATCATGCTGTTAAGAAAATGCCTGAAAACCTGTGCCGAGTTATTGATGAAGCTGTTAAAACACAGAACTTTATTCAAGACTGAATGCTCAAGCTTTCTCACTGCTCTATTATAACTAAGATTCCCTTCAACCAAACTGGCAAATTTAAGGAATTTGATAATCATGATGAAATGACAAAGGCCAAACTCCTCATATGGCTTCACAGGCCTAGACTCCAAATATGAAAAGAGTGTATGCTCCCCAAGGGGACAATCTGTTTACACTACCTTTTTACAGACTTCAGAGCTTGGCAGCATCACAAGGAAAGCCCTTATTCCCATTTTTTTTAAATATGATTATCTCATTGGCATGAATCTTATTGCTCAGTCTGTTTTCCTTAATCATTTCTGAAAGAACCATATCAAAACATGTTTTTCACGGTAGTGAGCCATTTATCACCCTGTCTCCGTTAGCTTCCAGATAGACTTGTTTCTTGAAACAGTGTAACTGTTGACAATAAAGTTCTTAATTACCCTTTGATATATTCCTTTTATTTTTTATTTTTTTTAAGTTCCACTTTGATACATTCAGAGGACCCCGACATAGGTTGCTTTTTCAACTGACCTTTTGTTCTGCAAAAGGTAGACTTTAGAGTTAGCAAATGAAATGCCAATAACATATAAATGAACATCATAAAATATAACACAAAGCAAATAAGGAACAGCAGACACGACACCTATTACAGGACTCTGAAGGAATACAGGAGATTGTTTAAGGTAACAAAATAAAATGTTTCGCTAGAACTGTCACAAACACAAATTGCAGACTTTTACTGGAAACTAAGCACTTCAGCAGTATTTAATGTAAACTTTAGGGAACAGTACAGTTCTACTGACATCAAAACCAGACAATGTAATAGTCTTAAATAGTGAAAAATTTTCACGTTTTCATTAAAAACAGAAACCTCTGCTAAATATCTGAAGCGGGACATTTTAAAAACATAACTGCTATTCAGCAAAAGCGTTCCATGAAAAAACATTAACAAAAAATTTGTGAACGGTTCTGAACAGTGAACTGTTAACAATGGATACATGTCTGGTTTCCTAAACAGCAGTACAAGGGACACTCTATTTGATTATGAGCCATCAGAAATTTTCCAGTTTACCTGTGTTACTAGTTTGTACAGCCCAATGCCATATTTTTAAGGATTGGGTGCCTAACGTTAGACACCTAAATTCATACTTAAAACTCCTAAGGGAAAGTGGTCTGATTTTCAGATCTGCACTTGTAGGTCTGACTGAAATCAAAAGGATCTGTGGGTGCTCAGCATCTCTAAGATAAAGAT